CTAGTTCGTAAGGTGTAGCAGGTAGGGGGGGGGGGGGAGGGGGAGGGGTCGAGTAAGGGACAAACTGAGTAGCTTCACATGACCCAAAAAAAATTTTGAAGCCCAATTTTTTTATTATATTATATATGTATATATTTTTATTTTAAAATAAAAACTTATAATAACGATAATGACATTTTTTTCGGCTCGTCCAACGAATTTAAGGATATTTAAATCCTCAGGACCGGCCCTAAGTAGTTGATAGCTAAGTAGTTGATAACATTTTGTTAAAAACTACATGAAATAACTTTTAGATTTGGAGTCTTTTGTGTAAACTAAACGTAAAAAACTTATAGTGTCAAATAGAGCTTTCTTTCTTCATAACGAAGCGTTTTATCAATCATTAGAAGCTAGAAGGTACCTAAACGCTCTATGTCAAACACGTCCATAATCTGATATAAAATTAAAAGTCCGAAATTGAGTGTTACGAATTTGTGGTTACTTTGTAAACATTTCGGATTATGAGTTTATTTCTAGACTAGAGGTCATTTTTGTAAATACCCTTTAATAATATAAAATACTAATATGCAATAATATCATAGACACACGTATAGTAGATCTTTAATGCTACACGGCCCAAATCAACCTTTTTGCATAGTAGTATAACTACATTTATTTTGCATTTATCACGTTTTTTCAAAAAAGTAACGTAAAAATGTATTAAAAAGGTCAAATTGAAACAGTATTTATGTCTCTTAATTATTATTTTTTTTATATAAAAAAGCTAGCGTACAAAATCCAAAGTACATAACAAAAAGCCTCCGAACTAAGAAAGGCTAAAAAGAGAAGGAACACCAAACAAAAGGAACGCCACCACAAAAAGACAACTAAGACCAAAACAATGTGATCACAGGGCAATACCAGACACTTGAGAAAAAGTAATGAAGTCATCGAATTTGAGCAGCCCAAGATAAGGAGGGCAAAAACGTAAATAAAGTAAAAAAGTACGAGAACCAAGCTCTTGAAATAGGTTAATGTAGGCATCGAATTTGAGCAGCACCAAAACATAAAGAGGGCAAAAACTTAATTAATGTAAACAGCTAGCACTAGAACCATCACTATAACGATTTTACATGATAACATATTTCTTAAGATAATAATTATATTTCTATTTATTTGGTTGAAATTTTTTACAATTAAGATTGGTTGCTTCCTTATTTAGAAATAATTAGAGCAACAGGAAAGTTTAGAGGTACTTGTACAAAAACCAGATAAAATCAACAACGTACATAAATATTTTTCACTTTATTCACATAATGATAGACAAAATGCTAGAGTGAAAATTAATAGGCAGAAACGTGAATGGAAAAGACATTACGTCTTCTATTGATATATGGTTCTTAAGAAGTAAGAACTAATTAAGAAAGGGTTGCTCCGATCTCAGTGGAGCTGCCACCACCACTTTCTTTAGTAGGTGCTCGAGCTGCAGCCGCCCTTGCTGCTGCCGCACGGATGTCATCAGCTGTGGGGAACTCAGGAAACGTAGTAGAGAGAGTAGAGTCCGAAAAGTTTAAGATTGCATACTCACCTTTGAGTGCCAGTGCCGCCACATCATAAGCCGCCGCCGCCATCTCCGGTGTTGGATATGTGCCTAGCCATATACGACTTGATTTGTTTGGTTCACGGATTTCAGAAACCCATTTCCCAGCTCTGCATCGGATTCCATAGTAATCAGGGTCGCGGCTGGAGGAACTGCCGCCAGGGGTAGGTGGTGGGTTTTCGTCATCTTGGGGTACCGGTAGCTGAAAAGCGGAGGAGCTGTGATGACGACGACGATTAGCCATGCAATCTAATTAAGTTGGGTTTGTGGGTAGTTATAGACGAATAGTTTCTGTCGGTGCTTCATAACTCCATGATTGAGTATGACGCCGTGTGTGTTTCGCGGATGCCACTTTTTTTAGAAATGACAACTTTCCGGAATAAGAAAATAAATACAATGATTTGACTATCCACAATTAAAAAAATAAAAAGAAAAGGTACGCATACAACTCCCTTAATTCATAAAAGTAGGATCTTAAATGTAGGGCGAAAAGACCAACACCTACCAACCGTACAATGTAACTGAAGCCAATGTGTTATTCTAAGGCCATCTCCAACGTGTTTTTCTATTCAACTGTCAAGCCACTGACTATATTAAGTGGTCGATATTAATTCGATAGAGCTAGAGCATGATTTTGGACAAGAAGAGACGTGAAGCTGAAGACATAAACAGAATCAGGAAAATAAAGTTATAAAGCTATCCACTGCATGTAGGGCAGCAGAGAATTTGATGACTACTCTTGTTGTCGGTCACAAGTTTATTAAAAGGAAATTGAGAGTCATGAGTTGGAAGAATAGAATAGTATCATGGAGAAGAGGTAAAAAAAGCCAACTATTAAGGTGGATTTAGAAAACTAGAAGAGGGATATTGTTTGTAATGTGAAAGAAGGAACGAATTGCTTATCAAGTACGAATGAAACTTTTTGTTAAAATTTGTAAATCGAAATTTGATGCAAATTATAAAAGATGGAATGAGGATATTCAAGAATTTAGAGATGTCAAAATAGGAGGGTTTAGGAATGATTACTGATTTGCTTCTAATAATCACAAGACGATATGTAAATCATTTACGACTATGGTGAGATTCCTGGCCGACTCGGAGATTTTAAGGGCCCTGTGCTAAGAAGAAAAATGGGGCCCTAATACAATTTTTTAATATATAAGGAAAACAAACTTAAGACGGTGAATTGTCGTTACCGAAAACTTAAAAGTAAATTAATTAATTAAAAAGGAACATATGGAATTTTATAAAAAGTTCAAGGGTTAATTATGTAACTTTTGAAAACTGACTGGTTAAATATATTAGAAGAAGAGGTTGATTATGAAATATATAACATAAAGTAATGACCAAAATTGTAACTTGAATTTAAAACATCAAAATGTAGTGCACGAGATTCGTTCAAAACAAAGGATGCACTTATGCCAACTGAGCCACTCAGACTTTATGTCAAACCTTGAATAAATTCATATATATATTTAGTTATTAAATATATAATTTAATTAAAACTCGGGCCCTATTTTTTTCGGGGCCCTGTGCGGCTGCACCTCTTGCCCCCCCTCCCCCCCCCCCCCCAAAAAACTGGGCCTGGTGAGATTTTAGCTTTCGCAGAAGAAACTGATGGTATGCAGGGCTAATGTGGATTCAACAAAAGTTTTGATGCAATTAAATTGTTGCAAAAATTTATGAACCATATCTTTATTTTACGTATGATGGCAATCATGTATTATAGATTTTGATTAATGAGTTACTGATTCAATTCGACTCAAAAGAACCCAACAATAAGGAGGTGGATGTTTAAATCATGGTCGCGCTTATGAATATTTTAAGGTGTAGTGGGACTTGTGGATGTATTAAGAAGAGGAGTTTTTGACCGAAAGGGTGTTTCTAAAAAAAATATTTACCAAAAGGGTATACTTTCAAACATATTTATCTAATGAGGTGAATTTGTAAATTATTCTAAAAAGAAATCGGTAACCTACCCTTTTTGATTGCACCCACATCGTGAATCCTCCAAACGACTCGTCTTCGGCCACACCAAAAGGCTCTCAATCGATGATGCTCACCTCTGTTGCCCACTCTCGGTTCCTCCACATTTCTCACCTCCGGCTACACCAGACGACCCTTAGTTGACTGCTTAACTCTGGCGATCCTGTCGACCTCCACTGCTTCACCTCCGACGATCATCTTCGTTGAAGCCTTCGTTATCCTTGAATTCGTCTGTCAACAATCCACCAGAGCGGTTATTAACATAATGGTGGTAACCCAGGATTGGGTCTTGAACTGAATATCAAGAAAACTGAGCTATTTTGGCCTTCATGCGATGGTAGGAAACTTTGTGCAGGTTTATTCCCTCACATTAGGCGGCCGTTATTGGGGATGGAGCTTCTTGGGGGAGCTGTTAGTAGAGATGCGAGTTTTATTAGAGGGTTAACCATGAAGAGGGCTGCCAAGGCGGTTGATTTGATGCGTCTTCTTCCAAAGTTACATGATCCCCAGAGTGAGCTCATTTTGTTTCGATCTTGCATAAGCATCACCAAACTTTTCTTTGGTCTGAGGACGTGCCAACCTGTTCACATGGAGGACGATGCTTTGTGCTTTGATAAAGGTTTGTGTGGGTCGATTGAGGACATTGTGGTTTGTAGGGGGTTCTTTTCTTTGGGGACATTCAATGACGACTTGCTTCATTACTAATTAGGTGTGGTGGTTTGGGGTTGTACTCAACGGTAGAAGCTTCTTCCTATGCTTTTGTGGCCTTACGAGCTCAATCGTGGGTGTTACAGGACCACATCTTACAAGATAACTAATGGGTTTTGAGCACTACAACATTCCTATGGTGTACATGCAACCCTAATGCTTTGGATCTAGGTTTTCTCAAGTTATACATACAAATAATCATCTAAAGCATAAACCCTAAGTCTAGTATACACAATTTCGAAATTCATATGTATGAAAGGGTTTGGAACATAACCTCACTTGTTATATAGTAATAACAAGTACAATCCTTGCTAGATCTTGACTTCTGAAAGCCTAGTGCCCCAAGTGTTGCACCTCTAATGGAGTCACAAACACTCAAGGCAAAGGAAGACTTGGAGAGGTAAGGAAATCGGTCAGGGAATGAATCTTATGCATGGGAGGCCGAAAATCCTATGTAGAGGTCCTTTAAATAGTTGTGGCTGCTAGGGTTTTAAGGTGGAAACCTAATGCCTTGCTTAGGCACCAAGCAGCCCATGGACTCCCTCCTTAGAGCCCTTGGACGAAATCTATAGGGCTTCCCCCCTTAGGATTTCGTCCACTCCACTCTATGGAGTCCATCAGCCCAATTATGCAACTAGCAATGATTTGCACAACAGTCCCTCAATTATTAATCAGTTCCTTTAATCCCAAAATTAATACTAGATTAATTTCTGATTAATTACCAATTAATAATATGATTTCCAAATAATATATTAATCTTGTAATATATTAATAAAATCATTTTGAGTACCAATTTATTATTCATATAATAAATCCTACTCTCTCTCCACTTATCATCCTATCAAGTTACATGAGTGAAGGCAACCCAAAAGGACCATGCTACTATCGGGTCAAGTACATACCAATTATAGTTATGGGCTTAGACACCTAATCCAACAGTCTCCCACTTGGATAAGTCTAATAACTATAACTGCAAGTACGACTTCAAAATCCGATTAGCAATCGTAGTTTTCAAAAGCCGCTGTCGAACTCTGATCTTATCATTAACGCGTCCTTTAGATAAGGGATCATATATTCCTGAATTCTACAAGATATCGTATGTACTGAGACATGGATTATAATCATTCTCTCTGTCCAAGGTTTGTTTCCCGATTTCCGATTTATGACGACCGGCTAATTGAACAAATCAAATCAGTCCAGGCTTGGCCAAGCGCTTCAGGTGTCATCACTAAATCATCGAGGCGCCCACATATATTATTTTTATCCCACATTGGGTAAAAGGAACGGATAAACTTCGACTCATATGCTTTTACTATTTACTCATCAAATCACACACAACAATACGTTTTATAACATCAAGTTACTGATGCGTTTACGTATTATTAATGCGCAACCGACTAGTAAACAACAACTCATATGTCTCCATTTCAAGAATATAAGATATTATCGTCTCACAATAACTCGTGATAAAATCCATGAAGTGATTCAAGTGAGCGTGGGTTTAATCGAATACTCAAATCTTATTTCAAGAGTACTCATGAACACAGCATCAAACTTTTGCTATGTCTAAACACTTTAGACAATCTACAATCGGATTCATGACAGTCTTACCTCATTACCTACTTCCAAAGTATGATCGACTGCGGATAGTTTAAATAATCTTATTATTCGGGAAGTCAAAACATGCAAAGTGAAACACAAGAATAATCGAATCCAATATGGTCTTAACACATTTGAGTATAAATAAAACACTTATTATTTAATCACCATATTGATTACACATTATTCATTTCATTATGTTTCGAGCAATCAACTCAATAGTTGAATTAAAACAATAGTTATCTCATGCTCCAAGCATGCACACTATGTTTATCTATGGTCCTTACTTTTTAAAATAGATTAAGTGAAAACATTTCCAATGATGCTCATCTCACAATTCCTAAATCCCTATCACAAATGTAAGAATACTAAATTCTTGCCACTATTAGAATGTGTTCGATTCTAACTTTTTAATGTCATAGCACCAAGGTCATAAAGATTTTGCCAATGATATTACAAAGTGCTTTATTGGAGATTGTTACAAGACAACTCCATAGATATGAAGTCTCACATTCAAAGTACATTCCTTTAAACATCCTTCTTGCATGAAAGTTTCTAACCTACACATAGATTCTTAATATCCAACTCCCATTATGGAAACATTTCCATAATTGCCATATGACTATCCATTCTAAATGGAATCCTATCTATTCATAATTATATCAATATGGTCCATCCATTACTTATACTTCCAACTATCCCAAGAAACCAATCTTTGGTAAACCTTAGATTGTCCTTGACAGTTGTTTAACAATTTTAGTTGTAACAACGTAAAATTTCCAAAACAATTTTTCATTTTTAAAACATACTTTTATTCATAAGGTGATAT